TGGCACTCGTAATCTGAATTCAGATCATGAAAGTCATGTATATCGGTTAGACTTGGTGAGACAAGCAAAAGGAGTTTCACCACAGTGTTGCAAAAAGAAAAGTTTATCTAGTCCAGACCTAAACTGTCTTAATAATCCTGCTAGCTCAGCCTAAAATATGAAAAATATTTATGTAAACTTCTGCTCTACATGGGTTAAACTTTTGCACACAGGACCTTTTACCAGACCTGAGCCCTGTCACACCACTCACTTTCTAATTTTGTGTTCTTCTAGGATGGGGCCAAATGTACACTACACATTGAAATTTTAACCCATGTCTCAGCCCTGCTGGATTAACTAACCAAAAACCTGACTTAGCTAACTACTTAAAATACTTGTATAGGCTACAAAATTCATTATGGTTTGGGTTTAAAGCAAAAGCAGCACTATTGGCTAGTTAGTGGTCCATCTGGGCACAGGGACATTGTCTAGTTCAGTCTGCAAAGCATTCCTGTTGTACATGTTTTATACACAAACACCTTAACACCTACATATGTACATAACTGGAAATCCTGAAAAATAACATAAACCAGGGAGCCCTGTTCCATTGTAACTTTATCCTAAGAACTTCCTACGTGTTTCTACAATCTAACAGTCTTTACTGGCTTTTAATGGGAGTGGTTGGCGATGGTGATGAGGTGATGGGGTAAAGCTCACTGTGATACAGGTTTGTGTTCATGTCCCAGAACCTTCCGAAGCATTTTTTCATACGTGTATGGATTAGACATCATTTTGGAAACACCGAAAAGCAAAAATGTAAAATATTCACAAACTGAAAATGTCAGAGAACCAAATATCACAACAAATTTTACTCGTCAAAGACCCATTATGCAGTTTTTGGACTTGTGTTAGTTTTGGAATAGAATCAAAAGTATTCCAAGACTTCAAATAAAACATCAGATCACGTCTCCAGTGAGTACAATTGGCATAAGTTTTAAAAACTAATGGATGGATGTTTATCTTTGTGTAGCTACAATACAGTACATAAAATCCTCTTGTTCATTTTGACACGGCTGAAGCTGAAGTAATATACAGTGTTAAGCAAACAACTGATCTAAAACACTGGAACCAATTCTTCTTATCCCATGCAATATCACTAAAGTCAGAGATGCTAGCGCATTGAGTTTAGTCAGAAAAATCTACTTCAAGCCTCCAAGTTAACTTCCACAGAGCCACATGTACTCACTGAATTCCTCAGATTTAGTACTGCAGCATCCTAACATCCTGATGTTTTGATAGAATACTATATACCTGAGATACCCTGGGTTACCACCAAAATTAAGAATCACCATAAATTATGTTGAAAAAAGTAACATTTATTATAAAACATATTGTTATCATCATCCATAACCTCAGCTTCAGCTACCATGGCTGCTAAGCAATAAATGATAAATGTATCTTTTAAATGGATATATACATACATTTTTATTAATCCTAAATATCACAGCAGTATTTGCAAAGCAGAGTCTTGCTATTGATTAGCAAGGCACGGAGAGCAATAATCTAAAGATATAGTACATAAATTCAAATCTCTCAGGATAACGATCAATCTTTTTTTTTTTTGCTACGTGGCCTCTAATTTTAGCTCTGTGGCTCTTATATAAGCAGACAGGTGAGTTTAGCGACTTCAGCAGAAAGTGCATGCTTGCTTGCCTTAAAATAAACAGATTTTTTCAAATGTTTCATTTTTGACATTTTTCATAGGAAACATGTTTTTCATTATGTTTTGATTTGACGTTTGGTGTCCTACTGTATGTCTGCCATAGAATAAAAAATCTACTCACAGAATTTGAGGCCTCAGGCATCGCCATGTAAAAGCCCACTCCTACCCCTCCATCTACCCCAGTCAGAATGCAGCCAGACACTTTAAAGAAAATAAGAAGGTGAACATGGTCATCTTTTTCTTCTGTTAAAGTTTTGGGCCTCTCACTGATATTTTTAACTTTTTTTATTGTCTCTTTTTTTTAGTTGTTTTTAGTTCTGTTTTGTCTCTTGAGGTGATTTTTAATCTCTTTACAGTTATTATGAGCCTCCAACTGTCATTGTAGTCATTATCATCATCACTGTAGACTCTCTGGATCTATTTGTGGGTAAGGGGTGTTCTATTTGTCTTTTTAGTTATTAAAATCTCTCTTTAGTTTTTTTGTACGACTTTGTAGTTGCCTTTTTTGTCATTTCTTTGACATTCATGAAATAAGAGATTCTAATAATAATGTGCTTGTTGTAATATTACCATTCTATAACTGTATTTTTTGTTGTTGACTGTTCTCTTTTGTTGTAAATCTGCAAATATGGCTCGTCTGTGAAGCACTTTGTTGTACCTGTGACTTTTAAATGTGCTATAGAAATAAAATTGAAATTGAAATTGAATTGAAATTAATGTAATGCAGCTCAGGAGGTGGAACAGGTCATCGACTAATCGGGAGATTCAAACCCTGGCTGCTCTAGCCTGCATTTCAGATATACTTGGGTGAGATGATAACCCCAACTTGCTCTTCACTGCATCGATCAGAGTGTGAATGTGAGTGAATTTTAGATTAAAACACTTGGGCATGGGAAAAATAGCTTCTGTTATCAGGTGAATGAGGCATGCTGTATAAAGCGCTCTGAGTGCTCGTATAGAAAAGCGCTATACGTATGAACCAGTCCATTTACCCAGCATCATGAGCAAAAATCAATGTATAATAGAGACAACACAGAGCAATTCATATGAATGAAACAGTATAAAAATGAGAGGCACAATTAAAATCCAGATAATTTAACAAACATATTTCTTATAAGAATCATTTTTCTATCTGTCAGAGGAGCATGTCTTACACTTGTGCATACTCTGCTCCTACAGTGTTTCACCAGACTTTGTTTGACTCAAATAGTGTATTTTGGCACAATTCTCTTTAAATATTTCAAACAACAGTTTTCCCAACCTCTTTTCACTTATTAACTTGTAGCCTAATTTTTCAGCTAGTACACTATTTGCTATGACAGCCTACTAAAGATATCATAAATGGACTCATCAGGCGAGGTCATTAGTAGCCAGCACCTTTGCAGGCTATTTTTTTTCCAAAACTATGGAAACTCCAGGTATAAGTTTTATGAAATGGGCTCATGGATAAGAGTAATATAAATGTAGTGATTACATATTTCATTCAGCCAACAAATATTCAAATATGCAACTTGAGAAACTCCACTAAGGTATTTCTTTTTCTTTTTGTCCCTGAACCATTGTGAAAATTAAAGGAAGAGGTTATTCCAGATCAAGACAAAAAGATACACCAAATATACCGAACAGTGATGATGGGGTTGTGTATTTCTCTTAAAGAGTCATTTGTCCAAGCTACACCATGAAATCAAACATCTGCAGATGACATCTTTCAGTATCTGTCAGACTGTCCCCCTCATCAAGTGTGAGGCATTGTGTACCTTTTCATCTGATGAAGGCATCTGATCAGCTTGGATTACTTTGAGAGTATGCACAAACGAACAAATAAAGCAACAGTAGACCTTCTCCTGAAGTAACCTGAACCCCACACCTCTGATGGTTCTTTGGAAGGTCCTCAAGACCTTGGAAGCAATATTTAGGTCAAGGACAAAGTAACTAAAAGAACAACGTAACCTTTTCAGTTTGACTGCACAGGATAATGACATCTTTGAATGGACAACTTTCAGTCCGGAAACAGCAGTGATTGTAGAGATTAACAGCTAGGGACTCTACTAAGAGGCTTCAATAAGAAGAAGAGATAGTAATAATAAGAAAAAGGCAGAATAGCAGCCAGGTGAAAGGTTGAAGCAATAGCAGAATAAATACTTGCAAAAGTTGAAGAGGACTCCTCTTGGATTTAAGAAAGCTATATTATTGGGTGTCCTAAGACATCTTAAAGAGAACTACACAGGGTTCACCTTTTTTTTTCTTAATGGTGTTTTACCATGTTAATCAAATGGATGAAATCGTTATTCCTACACACTTATTTGTACGCATTCTATTGCATATAACATAACATTATTACATTTTCACACACACACACACACACACACACACACACAAAAAAAAAACAGTTTCTAGCCCTGTTATTCATGAGAGAAAAGAGTGACTTGCAAAAGTCATGCACATTATTCATGCTGATAAACAATGTCAGAAAAATGAATTTCTAATTTGCAATCACTGCCATTTTTTGTCCCTCAAATAGTTTGTAAAAGATGTTTGCCTGCTCAGTTTCACACCTCCAAACAGATATGGTGTGTATGGTCTCCTTTTTCTCTGGGAGGAGGGTGCTCATCCTCCTCCACCATGTTTTCTTAGCTCCTTAGCAGTAAGTAGTTAAAACGTATCTTGGATGATAGTGATGCTACCATTACACTAACAATGCTGAAAGAAAAATTAACTATGCCCCCCTCCCCCCATTAATACAGATTTCCATGCAGATTTTCTAAAGGGGAGGAGCAATAACAATGCAGAGATGCAGTTAAGGGTGGTGGGGGTACTCGGGTAAGATACCATAAAATCTCAAGAAGGAACAAGTGAGAAAGAGGGCCTATCCCATGGCTGTCTTCAGTGATGCCTGAAGACAGCCATGTGACCTTATGGCCAGTTTAGTGCCTTTGAGTGTTTCTGTTCATCTCAACTAATGCATCCATCCAAGTGTCTGTAGTCTTTGGGTTACATCATCCGAACTAACATGCTGATGTCTTGCTGAATTTCAAGTCCCCAGATGTTGTCTCGATGCCTCCTGGGAGATTCAGCTAGTATAAAACATAAATGACTGTGTGATGTGCATATAAGTGTGAAAGCTGCTGTTTTTTGATATGTATGAATTGACTTCAGCTTGCTGTTTCTCAGCTGAGATTAACAGGGCAGCCTAGCAGTCGCTGGACATCGTGATAGACTCCCTCACCTTGCATAGTGCTTTGAGTGCCGAAATAATGGATGATTCCTGGGAATCAGTCGCAGTTTATGCAGTCTCTTGAAAAAAAAAAAAGGTAAGTAAAGCAATATGACAACTAAATTACATAAAATTGTGACTAAAACACCGAAGACATCCAGAAGACACGAGGTTTCCACATACAAGACCATCGGGCAGGAAGCCCTCTGGCAGCTCAGCTGAGAGAATCTATGTAGCCATTCGCTCTGGAAATCAGTTCAGAGGATGTGAAATTGTTTGGTCTTCCAAGTTAATATGGCTTACATTTACTAACAGCCACATTCTCCATTAGGTTGCATGTGATGATGGAACTGTGAACACCATTGTTGTTCTTCTCTTTCTCTCTATCTCCCTCCCAGTTTCTACGGTGAATCCCATCAGCAGAGACAGACGAGCAGCAGTTTACAGTTAATAGTTTTCCTCTTCTTGTAGAGGAATGGGTGAGTTTGTTAAAAACTCAGCACTGAAAGGGAAAAAGAAAAGAGAATTTTGTGAGGAGATGAAGTAAATATGTGACACCAGATCTTGGAATAGTCAGTGTGGGGCATCAAAAAGCCTAAAGGCAACAAAATGTGTTAAAGAAAACAATGAAAATGGATGAGCTTTCCTAATCATTTCTTTCAATGTCTTTCTTATGTTTCAGATTTCATGTGGACCAAATATCATTTACTCATTCATTGTAATGATGCTAATGGCTAAGTAATGCTTTCTTTGCTTTTGGGGTATTTTGGCGACACCAGCAGTTCAAACTTATTCCTAAACCTTGAAAAATGGTATCACCATGGTTACAATAAATCCTTGATTGAATTTATATAACTGAATATACACACACAGCAACTACCAGATATAACAGTAAGTATGTAACTGGCAAACCTGGTTTTATGTTAATATGATTGTTGTTAAGAATGAAAGAATTATTGTGGGTTATTGTATTTGTCAATAACAATTAATTTAGTGTATTTAAAGACAAATATCAGTGTCAGAGGAAAAATACAATGATTGCTAAAAAAAGAAAAACGGCATTTATCCTAAACTGATTGGAACAGAAGTTACAAACTAAAGATGTGATTTTAAAATATTTTTCATTGAATTCTGCTGTACTTGCACATATAATAATCCTTTCCAGTCTTTGAGAAAATTTACAAAAATATAGGAGGGGCAGAGAATTACTGGACTAAATTTGACCATTTTCAAAAGTATCACGTTAACAGAATACATCGTGATATGTTTTTCTGTAAAATCTTTTACTTTTGGTGCCTAGTGCAGTTTTCTGATGCAGGGATTTGAGCTGATATTTATATCCATGCTTCTGTTGCTGTTTTGTTTGCTTTCCTACACCACTCCTGTTTTACGATGACTAAAACAAAGAGCAAACTGCTTCTGGGTGATTCTCCCAGACAGCCTCCTGTTGGACCTTTTTTGTAAAAAAAAAAGACCTATAATAATTATTTCTCTAATGTCTTAGTCCAGTAGATGATTACTTACATATTTCAGAAATACAATTTCCCACCTCAGGCATTATTAAGCATTCATTTCTCACTAAACTTCACTTTGACTTCAACCCTAATCCAAACAATCTGAACCATGAGTGATCATGATTTATACATTCTCGGAGAAACAATCAGGGACATTATGATAGTCTTGGGGTTGATGGGATGAGTAATATTTCAATATGATATCAGTTCAGTTACCAAAGAAATATAAGGCTCAGCAACAATGGGAAGGGAATTTATTTGGATCTTTAAGGTTCAATATGTTTTGGATTTTTCTTAAAGTTTTCTCTCTTTTTTAAGTACATGGTTGAGTTTTGCTTTTTCTGGATACATTTTGAATTTAACTCTTTTTAACCCTCCAAAAATTGTCAGTTGTCTTTCCTGTGGAAAACTAAGTACACCCCATGGTTCAGCACCTTTACAACAACTTTCAAGCAGCTGTAACTTAAAGTAATTGCCTTTGTCAGTCTCTCACATTGTTCTCGGGGAACTTTGAACCATGTTTCTTTATGGTGTTGCTTAAGTTTACTTAGGTTTGCAAAACCTTGATTCTTTTCCTTTTCAGCCATTCTGATGTTGGTTTGTTGCACAATCCTATTTGGGCCAAGATTTAGTTATCAGACATAAAAACTTGACTCTAAAATACTTGCTATATACAGTGGGTGGGGCAATTGTTTGATCCCCTGCTGAATGTAAAAGTTTGTTTAAAAAGAAACGGACATTCTCTAATTTCTATGGTCATTTTAATTGATAGAGACAGAATATAGATCACAAATCAAGAAAAACTGCACGACTTATATTTACTTCTTCTTTAACCTCTCCTTTGTTTCCTTGGTTGCCTTGCAACATTTCCCAAACTTAAGATGGGTCTGTACGTGTGCCTTCTTGCAAAGGAGGACCTTGTAAAATATATATCTGCTATGAAATAGGGTAAGCACTTTCTGTGGACAATCTTGTCCCTGACAGGTGATGGAAAGGTTGGAATGAAATAATCTGATTATGTGGATAGTTATGCTTTAGTCACATAAACCGAAAGTAGGAGTATCTGTCATTTGTTTTGATTGATTGATTGATTATAATCTGTTTGCCACAACCACCAACACAACCAATTTCTGGGAGCAAGAACTCTGCCTTGACTGTAGGCGATCAAATATTTATTTCATTCAATGACATACAAATCATGCGGTGTGGTCAGTCTCCACTTTGGTCTGTCGGTCCAAGTGCATCACTTTATGTGATCTGTTCAGATGCAACTTTGCAAACCTAAGCCATACTTGTCTTGATGCATGCTCAATCATCCAGGTAAGGAAATCCCAAAAGGCTGATTCTGTTGACCTGAATGTAGCGTTTTCAGTGGGAGAAACGTTTGGTCACTCATCCAAGTGACTTCTTCTGTGGTCATTGATTGATGGCCTTTGATCAATGAGCTTTGATCAGTGGTTGTTGATCAATGGTCATGCCAATGTGCATATTAATGATCAAGGAACTGACCTTCCAGCCATTGTTCCTTCAGTGGTGCTGGTTTCAGTCATTGTGTAAATGTGCTGTTTATAAGGTTGGGGAAACAGTCAGCCGAGACTGAAGAAGTCACTTGGATGAGTGACGAAATCAACTTTTTGGGCAAAGCCACACACAGCTTTTTCCTGCCAATCATTACACGCCATACTTTAACATTTAATCTAACAGAAGCCTGTGGAGTCCGACATGTATGTCTGTATTTGCAGTTACTAATGTCTTTCCTTTTTGAAATGAACAAACACTTGAATGCTCCAGACCAGCAAATTGAGAACATTTTATAAAGGTGGTCACGCTGTTGACACTGAATCGGATTTGATTAGCAGCACCTGGCTGTTAATTACTACTAAAGCAGAAATCGGTGTACTTAGTTTTTCACATGACTGTATCGTATATCTCTCACTTAAGTCGCTTTTCTCCTTTTCCTTGACTCGGTGTCCCTTTTCAACCTCACACATTCGCTTGGAATTTATTTCTCCATTCTCTGTGGATCTGCATTCCTTTTTGCTCTGTATTGTTTTTGCCCCTGTGCTGCAGATTTTTTAGTGTAGTGTAGTCGCTGTGAGAGTTCCTTTAGCATTACCTATATCTATGTTAGACAATAGAGAAAGATTTGTTTATGTTTGATCTCCAGTGTTGGCTGTAAAAAGTTGTTTGTACATTACGGAAACTGAAACCTGACACATCAACGCAAGGAAATAATAGCCCAAACACACTGAAAAGCAAAGGAGAAAAAAAGATTTCATCACAAAGCTTACAGAGTCCAGCCAACATGCAAGGACACTGATACCACAGCATGAATGTCACACATATTTCTTTCTGTGACCCACATACACACAGATATGTAACAATATGCAGAGGTCTTCGAGGGGACTATTTACACCTCTGATGGAACAAATACTTATACGACAGACAAGGAGCTGAGAGACACTGAGCTCGGAGACTGAAAGTGAAATTGAAGAGATTCAGCGCTCAAAGCAGAGGACTGCAGCCAATCAGGACTGGATTGGAATTCAGACTAAGAACTGAAAGCAGAACATCTCAGCTGATGTGTCCCGCAAAGCACAGACCAGACCTTGGCCAAATAACAGTAGTTTTGGAATTTTTAAAAATGAATCCCACTTTAACCATCAGACATGCAGTGTTTGCCTTATTTATTAATTTGGCCGCAGTTTGGCCAAATGACAAACTATAAGTCACCTGCACCTGTGTGGGATAGAATAAGCCATAGTTAGTGTTCACAAACACTCTTTGACCCAGGTGTGGTGCTCACAAAGGCTATGAAAAAGAAAGATGAGAACAACACAATATAAAAAAACAAAGAAGATAACACGATGTCACACCGAAACACAGTATGTGAGGAAGTACACAGAAGAAGCAAACAGTGCAAGAGAGCAATAGTGAGGGACACATTCTTACATGGAGAAGCGATTTGTGCTTCTTTCTTTCCTCCTCCAACACTTTCTGTGTTGCCCAAACTTTTCCTCCTCCATCTCCTCTCTTTGATGCTGCTCAGCTGACAATCCACTCAGGACACGAGTTTTCAACACATTTGTTCATCTGCATCTGTTTACAACATATCATTACCCTCTTTTTTTATTCTTTTTATTGTCCATTCCTATCTTCATCCTCAGCGAAGTCCACTGTCAGGCCAATAGTTTTTGTTTTTCCAATGCGAAGGTGCTCTAATTTACACGTTTTCCTTTTTGGCTTCAGTTTTCTGGCTTGAAGAATGGATGGATGGTGTCCCATAGAAAGTGAGATACAGTTACTGGGACAGAGAAGAAAGGTGAGGAGAAATACAAGGAGAAGACAGGGAGCACATTCGGAAAAACAAAGCAAGGACAGCAGTTTTGTAGAAGGAACCCTAAAACAGAGCACATGGTATTCACAGAAAACCTTTTTCAGAGTTTTTTTCTAGTCCTTCAGTTTGTCATATCTGAGAAAGCATGGGCGACCAGATACAGATGGGCACAGGTTAAGAGAGCTATACCTGAGTAGATGGAGGAAACGCAGATCACAAACATGACACAAAGAAAAAGCCAGCGACAATTCACATGAAACACTCTTCAAGCTCTAACTTTTGAGCGTTGCTCCAGCAATAATGGTTCTCACTAGGAATTCACAAATCTTGAGACTTTTAAAACGAAGCAATCAAATAGTCTGTGGTTCATCCAGAAAAACAAAGGGCTTCTATACATTACAAGATACAATGAGCTACTTTCCTAAGACCAGTATAAATCTCCATCATTTTTAAAAATTTGTCATCTTGGCTAAATTATATTGATAGGATTCTTGCATGTGTTAGGGTACAGGATTGATTACGACTGACTGTAGATGTGGCCCTTTTGACCAATCACATCCATATATTTATGGATTCTATGACAGGAATGGCTTCATGGACTTTCTTTTCCTCTTTACTGGGAAAAGAAAGAAGGGACATCGGGTCACTGGGACATCAAAAGAAGGAAATTGTTTGTATGCTGCTGAAGGAAAGATGGATAATTAGGAATTGCTCTTTGTTCAGAAGGTGCAGCGAATTATTGCATTACAGAGACGTGTCTTTTGGACATATTACAGTTTACAGAACAGGAAAGGGCAGATGGAAACGACACATGACGTGAACACAAAATTAAGGTGCAAATGAATGAAAAGATGAACGGGGGAAATGAAACAATGATGGAAGAAGCTGGATTTTTTAGCATTAGTTCACAGTTACTGTTACTTTTTTGCATATATCTGATAAGTACACAGCTTTCAGAACACTCTTTGTGAACGGAGAAGCTAAAAAAAGAAGAAAAAGCTACAATTGTTAATGTTTACCTTGTAAGTCTCTCAAGAGTGATAAGAAAGCAGCAGTAGAAGACGTAACCCCTCCCCATCCTGCAAAAATAAACTTTCCCACCCTCGCCCTGCCCTATTACAGTACCTAACTTGGTCTGGTCTGACCAGTATCATCGTAGCATCTAGTCATGCATAATGTCCATCGACCTCTTCCTGCATTCAGAGGTGACCATTTTTTGTGTTGCATGCTTTTGTTAGTGCATATGTAAGTACCTCAACATATACATCCACGCACGTGTGGTAATCTAGACAGTGCCATTAGGCTTGAGACTAAAACGTTATCAAATTAGCATCCTTATTGATTGTGACAGAAACCCATGCAGGTTTATCTACAACTCAAACTTTACATATATACACTGTCACAACAAAAGAAACCAAAGGGGAAAAGTGACAGATGCACTCTGTACAAATGGATGCTGGGAAAAGGAGAGGATGAAATGAGGTGTGTAAATGTGTTCCTGGTTTTCATGAATCCCCCAGTGGACTGAAATATCCACGTTATTCATTACTGCACCACAGAGGGGTTGAGCATCAGGATAAACGGGAACAATAGAAAACCTTGCCTGACATAAAACACATAGAATAGCTACACACTTTGGACAAATCTGTACATCACTTTCTTGCCAACGGCAGCTTGAGCAGTTGTGCCTGAAAAACAGCCAGCAGGTGATAAATGAAGTTAGCTTAGCATAAATATTCAAAACTGGGATGCAGTTAACACCTCTAACAAACCTGAAAATTAACCTGAAAATAATAACAAGCTGTCATCATGTTCCCACACTATATTAGGTAATGAAACTGTGAGTTGTTATTTTCCTTTCCATCTAAGGTAAGCTCAGACTTTCTAGCCATAGCTCCAAACTTAGCAGCCAGACTGTAGACTGCTGCGGCAAGAAAGTAAACATACATTTAAACATAAACAAGATATTTGTTTAAAAAACAAACAAACAAACAAAAACATACATGAGCATTCAAAAATGATGTCTATAAGCAGTGCTCTCACCTTCTGTAACTCACAGTCTGAATGTAAAAAAGTAACAGGAAGGACATACCTCCCAATGTACACTTATTTTGGTGCAATTTTCTAAATACTCTCTGAATTTTAAAGCAAATTTTCATCATTTAGATTTTTCTTTGATGTGTAAACAAATGAAACATTCTATTCTACTTTCTGCTGGGAGAGAAAAAAGGAGAGAGCAAGAGTTGGGCACAGGGGAATCAAAAAGATACAACTTAACCAAATGCACTCAAATAAATTTTTCCACAAAAATCTTCATCAGGAATCAAGAAGAACATGTGAGGGGAGATATGTTCTTCCTTGCTGAATTTATTGGCTTTAGTACAGAGGTAGCTGCAGGTCTGGGCACGCATGCACATAAAAACACTGATGCGGACTTTGTCTAGATTGTGTTTTTCTCTGTCCGTCCTTTGTTTGCTGTCTTCTTCCTGTGTGGTTTTTGGCATCTGCTCTTCTTCTACCATGGGCTGTCACTCCAGTAGCCGTTCACTGTACCTCCCACTGAGCAGCCGCAGCCAAAAACAAAGAAGAGATGGAAGGACAGGAGAAGAAGGGTAGGATGGGGTTCAGGAGTAAAAGACAGGCAAAAACAGGGAAAGAACAAGAAGCGAAATGGGGAGAAAACGAAAAATATTGCCACTGGCCACATTAGAGTCAGTGATAGTAGTGATGGTGCAGCAGCAGTGATGGTGGTGGTCTGGTGAACATAAGCCTAAAGAAAACTGCTTCAAACTCTCAGGTGCAGCTGCAATGTCTGGAGCTTTTATAGATAAATCCATCCAGCTATTTTCCTAAGCATCAGGGGTGCTGCAGTCTTTTCCAGCTGTCACAGGGAGAGAGGCAGGGAATACCCCGGAAAGGTGGCTAGTCTATCGCAGGACATTTTTCCACGTACAGAGAAAGGAAAGAAACAGCTAGTTGGAAGATTTGCTGATTTCTTTCCTTTCTTCCAGTAAGTTCATGTCTTCACTGTAGTCAGGGTTAACCCCTACAAACTAAAAGTCACTGCTTCAATGTGTTTCTTTTTATCTACACATAAACATGAGAGCATGCATTTTGTGGTGATGCAGGGGGACAATCAGCTTACAGTCCTGTCAATTCGTTGACCCCAGTCTGGTGAAAAAACCCCCAAAGAAGCTTTCTTTGTAGTTTTCTTTTTGAAAGTAGTTAACAAAGACAAAGAAACAAGAAAGTGATCATCTCTGATGGCTCAAGCAGATGTAATAAGATCATATGATATGATCAATGATATATTTATATCTATATATGTGTGTGTGTAAAGTTTCAGACCACAGGGAGCACTTATCCCTAGTCCTTGTCCCTGCTGCTTTGTACTTTTAGCTGTGTAAAACTTGACATTCTATAATGTTTGTCCTACATTTATTATGTATAATGAGTTTGTAACTAGCTTTACTGCACAATAGTGCTTGCATGGTTAAATCAGCATAATGTACAATTCTGTTATGGGAAAATACATTATATCTGTACATTATAACTCCTTACTGGTAGGGACAAATGAAAAACCACAGTACTTTGTCCACCATACTAACAGGTCCTTCTATATTAATTACCAGGAAGCAGGAGAAAGGGCACAAGGGCTCAGAAGCTGGTGTTGGAGTTGACATATATGGGAGCCTGTCTCTTTTCGGCTATATTAAATGGTTGATGATGTGTTAGCACATCACCTTCTACAGCAAACATGACTTTCAAATTGAAGTTGCAGAGGAGCTACATTAAGGGGCATTTAAATACAAAATACGTTTGCTTCTAAGTCACTTATAGGCTAGTGTATATTCTTATTCTGGAGTAAAAACACACATGCTGCTGTAATATGTTGGTGTCTGTGTGTCACTGTATGCATTCTTAGGCTTCATATTAGAAGATTTCTAACTCCTCTTAGGTGCCAAGGTTAAAGTGTTGATGTACAAGTGCAGTTGAAGTACAGGCAAGGTGTAGCACAGGAAAACTAGAGGTAAACTAACTCTTCTATTATTCTACTGTAAACTAAACTCTATTCATGTTAGTAAGGCAAATTTGCCACATTTATTTCAGTAAGGTTCAGCTAATCTTTCTTGAAATTATTAAATGGGGCCTCTAGGGGCTCCATGAACTTGCATTTATTGTTGTTTCAGATCAAGAACAAAACACAAGGCATGAATGCAGAATGACAGAGCAGCCTGGAAAAACTGTAATTCCTGTGTGTAGGCTTTTTTTTCCATGCAAAAAAAAAGCAAAAACAAATAATCAGACAAAAAAATCTTTCTAAATGTTACTGTTGCTGCTGTTGTTGTTAAATCTGGTGGCTATCTGTGGGCTATGCTACAAGATTGAAGGGATGGGTGAATGACATCGCCTGAGGCCAGGCGGCTCAAAGGGTTCAAAGGTGGAATTGGTGATGGGAGTGAGGCGCAGCGGGACGCCTGTCATTCCAGAGATGTTATTGAGGCTACGTGACTTCTCATAACCTGTGGCTACATGAGAATGGCATGCACAGGTAAAAGGTTATGAAGGGTCAGTCATAATAAGATATGAAAACATGAGCATTTTTATGATGAGGCAGATAGATGGAATGGTAGAAAATATTGCCAAGATTTATATTAATAAATGTTATGAGAGCATTGCACATCATATATAGAACATATCAACCATTTTTTACAGTGACAAGAATTTGTAAATGAAACAAATAATATATAAAAGGAAAACATCAGAAAATAGGGAACATTTTATAGGCCAAAGGAGGATTTTTGGGAAAACAAAAAAACAGACAGATGAATGGAGAGACAAACAGATGGACAGACAGACACAGACAGACACAGACAAGACAAAACAGGAATATGTGTTACAAAAATTAACTGTCATTGGCCAAAATATCTATACCTACAGAGGGAATCAGTCCAGTGGAAGTAGACAAGGCTCTTTGATGCAAACACAGCATTTGTATATGTGCGCATGCTTTGCAGTACACAGGTGGTAACACATTGTATTCAGGAACAAAAATCACTGCAAGGCTTAGCTGTTTGATGATTTTGGGAAATTCGGAGCAGCTCATTTAGGTAAATCATCTGAAGCTGACCACAATCAATATACATATAGTCCACCACTGTGTTTAAAAACATCTGGATCTCAGTTTCCAGGGGTTTTAGCCAGTCTACTGGCGATAAACTGCTGTTAACAGTGAATCCGTCAGTTAGAGAGAAAGACAGACAGAGGGCAAAATCCTTTGTGAGTTCAGGTTCAAAGTATACTGCTAGTTTTAAGCTGATCTCATCTATGTTGTTTGATGGTTTCTTTTTCAAGTGTGTCTAAACCTTTCTAGCTGAAGTTAATTTTTAATAAATAAAAAAAACATCACAAGCAGTCTGGCAAGTGTGTTGGGTGATGACATGAGATCACATTGGTATGAGTTAGCAATAATGTCTCTGGCCATGAAAATGAGGTTACAGAACTAGATGTTTGCTTTTATGTCTGTAATGAAGTTTCAGATCAAGGTTGGAGTGATCAGCACAAAATTCTCTGGAGCAATCTAAAATAGAAGCTGTGTTGAAAGGAGTTCAGAGGTGTATAAGGAGTAGGCGCACTTCATTTGAATTAATTTAATATTTATGTGGAGAGACATTGAATTTTCACCTCTGTGAATCACCGCCTTACCATGGTGGAGGGTTTTGTGTGATCCCATCTGAGCACATCCTGAAGAAGCTACTTGGCCATGCCCTCTGGTAGGCCGACCACCCAAAGGAGACGCCATAGGGATCGGGTGCATTGTGTCAGGTGGCTAGCTATCGAGGCTGGTTATCAAGGCTGGGACTTCTTCGAGTCTGAGCTAGTGTGTGAGGTATAATGACTAGGTATAGTTGGGCTCAACTCAACGCACAGCTCAGGTTCTGAAAACAGTCTCCTGGAGAGTGGCTGGACTTTGTTCCAGTCTGGAGTTGCCATCGGTGAGAAGCTGTGGAGTTGCTGTACCGGGTGACTTTGTTGTCCTTGTGGGTGACTTAGGTGCTCACATTGGCAATGACAGCGAGACCTGGAGGGACATGACTAGGAGGAATGGCCTCCTAGTCAGGTTTCAGGTGCCTTCACCCGAAACCTGTGCTGATAATGACCCACACCCTTTTTCACACATTGGCTCATGTGACAAGACACATGATCAATAGTGGGTCAATTACTTTCTTAAGGGATAACTTCCACCAGGGCTTAAATACCTTGTTCTCTCCACCATTTTTCTTAGAACAGAAGAAGCTTCTCAGATGAGAGGTGAAACGTCTTCAAGAAACTTAAAGAAGTCCAGACGCTTTTCTTTTCAAGCCCCCTAGACTACCATGACTTGGATGACTGAGAACAGTACAAATAACAGTTTTTAATGAACACCATGTTTGAAAATAAGGATGTCTATAAGGGCACGTGGGACCACAAACCTTAGGTCGCAGGTCAATGATCTCTTTGTAATCTTATCATTGCTTCTGCATTTTGGACACATTAGTTGAAGAGAGGAGCTGATCTGTCAACTTGATCCAACTCTGGTATTGAGTTGGATCAAGTTGTGGGAAAAGATGCTGGAAAGACCCAGAACCTCTAAATGTATTGCAAGCTTTTGCTAGGTGTTCCCAGCTTTAACTCCCACTTCCAGCAGAACTTCAACAGCATTCTGAGGGAGGTTGGGGACATTGAGTCTGCACCTCCATTGCTGAGGCTGCTGGAAGGAGCTGCAGCTGCAAAGTGCCTGTCATGGTGGTAAGCCCGGAAACAGATGGTGGACACAGGAGGTGAAGGACACAATCAAGCTGAAGAAGGAGTCCTATTTAACTTGGTTAGCTTCTGGAACTTCAGAAGCAGCTGATGGGTACCGACAGACCAAGCAGAATGTGGCCTGTGAGGTAGCTGACGCCAAAATTAGGGTATGGGAGGAGTTTGGTGAGTTTGGTGAGGCCATGAAACTGCCTCAAAGGGATTCTGGCAAACCGTCAGATGACTCAGGAGGGGAAAGCAGTGTGCTATTCTTGTGGTTTTTAGTGTGGGTGGGATGTTGCTGACTTCACCTGAGGACATAGTTGGACTGTGGAAGAATACGCCGAGGACCTCCTTAGTCCTACTGACACATCTTCCGTAGAGGAAGCAGAGCCTAGACACGAGGTGGATGATTCATCCATCACAGGTAGCAAGGTCTCTGAGGCAGTTAAACACCAACTTCCTAAAGGTTCTGGATATTGTAGGGCTGTCCCAGTTGACACACCTCTACAACGTTGTGTGGAGATCTGTGGTGCTGCCTCTGGACTAGCAGTTCGGGGCGGGGGTCCCATGTTTAAGAAGGGGTACAAGAGGATGTGCTCCAATACAGGGGGATCACACTCCTTAGCCTCTCTGGAAAGATCTATGCTAGGGTACTGGAGAGGAGAGTTTGGCCGTTAGTCGAATGTCAGATACAGGAGGAAAAAGGTGATTTTAATTGTGTAAGCGGAACACTACACAGAGATTACATCTCTTGGCTGGCCTGGGCAATCTTAACAAGCTGGATGGGGAGTGGGAGGTCTAGGCATCCTGGGTTAGGCAACCAGGCCCAAGATAAGCAGAAAAAATGGATGGATGCATGAATAATGACATTTTGCATATTCTATAGTTCACAATGTTCACTATTATTATTAGTAGTAGTATTGTGAGTTAACGTGTCAATATTTGCAGATGAACTCTAAATATTCCTGACACTGCAAGTAATCAATACACAAGTGGTAGGTAATTTTTTAATATGAATTTTTTTCCTTCTTTTTTTTTGCTTTTACAAAGTAAGTAAACATTATTTCTTTCAGTCCTGTACAATGTTGTTTTGTTTTCTAAACAATCTCGTCTGTGATATGTATTGAGAGTGACATTTAAGTATTAAGAGATACCTGTGATCTCAGGACACACTATGCAAAGGCAGCACTATTTCTAAATTTCTACAGACTCACCACAGGCTCACCGTAGGCTTTGTGTTGGGTCACACAATTCACCTACTTATAACGTAATTGATTATAGTCTGATGTAATCCCACCATACCAATTTTTTAACCCGGCTGGCTGTGTGCGTATGGTCAAAACCATTCTTAATCAACACAGTGGCTTTTCCTCTACTTAAATAAAAGAACAGCGCCACCAAGGAATGAGACAGAGCAATAGTGAAAGAGTATATGGAAGAAGGCTGCAACCCATAAAGGCAATGCTTATAGCAATCACAGCGACCTCCCTGAACAGGCTCCAGTAACCATCATTCACACCTACTGGCTAAAGAAGCTGAGTGCACTCCATGATGAACACATGGTAGAACAAATGAATCAGCTGCTAGTAGATGAGACACCCAGAATGGATAACTGAAGACCGGACAGTCCTGATCCCCAAGGATCCCCAGAAGGGACTGGTCCCATCCAACTACAAGCCAATAACCTGCCTCAGCACCACATGGAAGCGCCTGTCAGGCATCATAGCGACTAAGATGAACAGGCGCATGGCTCAATACATGAGCGGGCCACAGAAAGGAATAGGTATACCAGAAGGGCAAAACACAAGCTGCTGGTAGACAGAACAGTTGCTTGAGACTGCAAGACCAAAATGACCAAGCTATGGCTCAATGCCCCATACCTGAATCCTGGAATGCCTAGAACTATACAAGATCAAGATCCCAAAAGAGTTCATCGGGAGCTCAAAGGGGATGTGGCATACACCACTGGAGACCAACTTCATGCCAGTTGTACAAGTTGAACTGAAGAAGTGTAGTCGGAGGGATTGTTGGAGGGAAGGCAGTCAAAACTGACTGGATTGCACTACCAGAAGGCAACACTGAAGACACTGAGGACAGTGCAGAGGGTCAGACAAGTCTTGAAGAGTCAGCTGAACGGGAAGAACAAGATCTGGGCTATCAACACCTACGCCCTACCGGTGATCAGGCACCTTGCTGGGATTATAAGCTGGCCAAAGGAGGAGATAGAAGCAACTGACATCAATACAAGGAAGCTTCTTACCATTCACCCACCGAGTCCAGCACCCTGAAGCTGTACGCTAAGCGAAAGGAAGGACGCCGGGGACTGGTGAGTGTCAGCACCACAGTCCAGGAGGAGAAAACAGGCATTCTTATGAGTACATCAGAAAGATGGCCACAACTGACCATGTGCTTAGTGAATACCTCAGGCAGCAGCAACCCAAGAAAGAAGAGGGGGAGGATGAGGAGCCACCATGGAAGGACAGGCCCCTGCACGGTATGCACCACTGGCAGATAGAGGAAAGGGCTGACATCCTGAAGTCCTACCAGTGGCTGGACAAATCTGGACTGAAGGACAGTCCAGAGGCACTAATCATGGCAGCACAGGAACATGCTCTGAGTACAACATCCATAGAGGCTGGGGTCTATCACACCACGAAAGACCCCAGTTGCAGGCCGTGTAAGATGTCACTGAAACAATCCAGCACATAACAGCAGGGTGCATACATGGACACCATAACCAAGT